TTGGTATTTCGCGTCAACAAACTGGCCCGCTAGCACATTAAAGATTCACTTCGCAGTGCTTGCCTGGCCCCTGCTCTGGGCTGAGGCATGTGCAGGGTAATTTTTTTTGTCAGGGTGATTGAAATTGAAAAGGCGCAGCAAGACGAGGCAAGGGTGCAAATCCCATGTCCATGGGGAAGGCTTAGGATGGCTCACTGTAGGGGAGCAGAAACCTGCCGCCCCTGTTTCCTCAGAGGTGTGGAACCACTGCCTCCCAGGGAGGAGGTGCTGGTTCCATGTGGTGACAGCCTGGCGTGAAGACTGGTAGCCTGGAGAAAGGCGGCTGCTGTATTTAACATTTGCATAATTCTCGACTCAGTGTCCAGCGCACTTGGTGCATGAAGAAGTGGCCACGTAGGGGCCGCGTGAACGCCTTAGTGGCGTTGAAAGCCAAGGAGGCGTCACACACTGGGAGCTGGGCGGTGCTGGGTGCCGGGGGAGGGGGGGCCCTGTCCCCTGGCAGGCCCTCTGCTGGGCACAGCCGGGAAGGGGCTTAGCTTCTAGTTTCTTTTTGGCCAACAAACATCCGAGGACCGTCCCCAAGCTCACCCAGAAGGAGACACAGCTTTCTCAGCACCCTGTGTCCCTGCGAACCGCCCCCCGCAGCCATCTGCTGAGAACGCAGAGAGCCTTGAGAGCTCCAGGGGGCGTGAACCTTCCTTTGGCATTACTGCTCAGTGCTCAGTCACGGCTGTGCTGTGCCCAATTTCACCACCAGTGCCAGCTTCTGGCACGCCGAGGGCTGCTATGTTCCTCTGCTATGGGCCATGCGTCCTGCTGTTTCTTGTGGCAGAGTAAGATCATGACAGACTGAGGTGGACAGAGCAGGTACCTGTGGGCAGCCTCAAGAAGGCAGCTCTGAGTGTGACTTCCGCCTGGGTTGGTTTGGGGACATCCCCTTATCGTCCCTTTAGGACCCTAGTTGTGTGAGATGGGAATTGGATTACCTGCCCCAAATTATTTCATAGATCTTATCTGAAATAACATAATACGTTTTGCTTAAAAATAGTGTGAGAAGAGGCCCTCCCTGGTGGCGCAACAGGTTAGAACGCAGCACTGCAAGCTGGCAGCAACTGCTTCGGTGCAAGTTCCATCCCCGGCCCCAGAGGTGACCCACATGGCGCGGCAGACCTCTCCTGTCTCCCCTGTTGCTCCCCTCAGCAGTGTACTTCATCAACCTGCCTGTTTTGCTCCTCACTCTGGCTCTGGTAAAGCCTCTCTCTCTCACACACACACACTGTTCTTTGACGAAATAATTCAAGCAAAGGTGAAGTATAGTATGACTAATTGCCTAGGACAAGGGTGCGCTGTCATAATGTTTTCGACTCTCTTGACTTCACCCCCACTCCTGAAACAATGCTGGTCCCCACAAGTTGTCTGTGCCTCCCGCCATTTCCTAGGTTCTCCAGAGCTGCAGAGCCGCTTCCACAGCCTAAGTGTCCTTTCCTGGGATTATTCTGCTCCTTATACTTTGTCATTTGACCCTCAGAGTTTCTCCAGGCCAGCCCTACTGTTATTTGCGTTTTGCAAATGAAGAGATTGCGGATTATCTGTAGTCAGCAAGTTGCTTCAGGACTTGCCATGGAAGAACAGCTGAGCTGGGGTTCGCTGCTGTACCACCATCAGGCTTCACAGCCTTTCTGGGGCTGAGAGCCTGACTAGGGGCTGTCCTACCTCCAGCGACACCCTGCCTAACTAGGCTGTGCCAGGGCCTTCTTTAGCCTCTGAAGTTATGAAGAAGGAAACTGCTGTGCTCGATTACATGAGAGAGAAGCACAATTTAGAAAGGAAAATTCCCTAAGGGTCACACTAAGTGACACAGCCTGGACATTAGGGCAAGGGAGTTGGCTGACCTTCGCAAGGCTGTCCCGACAAATGCGCCTGCCTGGTTTGTTACTCTGTACTTAGAAAACACTGCAGAGGATTTTGGTGTCAAGAGAACACTCAGTTCACACTTTTATGTGACAGAAAGTGGAGCGAGAGCTTTCCATACGCAGTGGTTTCAAAAACCCCTTTATGATTTGTTCATATGTGGCATGTTCAATGATTTCCCTTCCAAAAATAAAAATAAAAGCCTATTTGAAGGTGCTCACCCACTTTCATGCTGCTGGCTACTACCTACAGGGAGTCGGCTCTTAAATCTGTATTCTCACCAGATGCACATGGTCTGTTGCCAACCGGTAAGCTCCTGTGGAATCTCCACAGATGTCCTGAGCCTGAGTGCATCAGTCAGCCTCACATTCTCTTCTCCATACCATTCCTCAGTCATGATTCCTGAAAGACACCAGTCACCCAAGCCCAGGCACCTGCAAACTCTTCCTCCCTCATGGATTTCCACGATTTGTGGATACCACCTTTGGACAAACTCACTTCTGAGTCTCCCTTCTCAAGTCCCATCACTCCTGCCTGCCTCACCACTCTCCCCAGGATTGCACCGGCTTCCTGATGGTTTTGCTGACCACGTCTGCCTGTTTCCATCCACCCTTCACGGAAATGACAAAGTGATCTTTCTAAGCCACACAACTCATCTGGCCCTGCCCCTTGTCAGCACCCTTCAGGATGACCGGTGCGTCAAGTTCAAGCTCTCCTAAGGAATGAAGCCTGGCACCTGTCCCGTCACAGTCAAGAGTCAAACATGGTGCTCACTATGGCAGGCCTTTCCAAAGGCTCACAGTCTGTACCAGCACCTCAGTGCTCACGTTCACATCGTCCTCATTTTGAGAGATTAAAAATAATGAAGCCAAACACAGTCTCCTACTTCCCTTTGTTCACCCACTCCAGAGAGATGGCCAGTTTTTAGCTCTTCATCAGCACTGTATCAGTCATAATTCTCTTAACTCATAAAATGGAAAATCCCACCCCTCGGGGCTTTGCCAGAAGGACATTCGTCCACAGAGAGGGTGGGGGGCACCAGATGCAGAACGCCAAGGCCTGGCCCTCCACATTGACTCTGACCTCCTCTAAGTGTTGTTCACCTTAGGGGTCTTGCTGTAAGCTGGTCTCAGTGGATCCAGGAGTCTCAGGCAGAGGGCAACTGTTTCTTCCTTTCTGTCTGCCCATCTGTCTCTCTCTTTGTTCTAGAAAACCTTCCCAAGTAAAACTACCACGTGGGTCTCATGATTTGAACTGGCTGCAAGCACTTGCTGAAAACAATCTCTGGCAAAGGAGAACGGGACTCACATGATTGGCTGAGATTACTCTTCAGCTATGGATAGAGCTATTTTCCACAAGGCCACACAGTGGAAAAGGATCTGCAAATGATTAGGGTCTCAGAGCTAAAAGAGGGGACCAAATAGATATGGGACAGGCAACCGAAAGAGCCCGAGTGGCAGATGCTGTCACCTCCGGCCCTGCTGAGTGCAACTGCTTACTTCCGACCCCAGCACCTGCATTTCTCTCTTGCAGGCTTCTTCTGGTCTTTGGAGCCTGCTCTGCTAACATGCAACAAGCCAGAAATGCTGAGGGATTAATGCTCCTATTTTGGAACCGCTGTCAATTACCAATGAGATTGTCCACCCCCTCACCCCCCCCAAGAGTAAACACCCCAGACCCTAGCAGTGTGAGATAACACTGTGGTGTGGGCTCTACACTGTTTTTCAGAGTTTTCCCAGCAGAGGGAAGCTCCAGTTGCCCCTGGAGTGGCTGGCTTGCCATGTCACAGGGCTTCCCGCATCTAGACCTTGGTTGACCAACCTTCCTGTTATGGAGCATCCAGGCCAGCAGGGCCGACCAGCCCACCAGGGAGAAACAGAACCACACTCTGTACCCACCAGGGAGAAACAGAACCACACTCTGCACAGGCTTCCTGACTTCAGGCAATGGCACCAGAACCATCCTGATCTTTTGTAATAATATTTTTGATTACAAAGGAGACCCTGGAGGCAGGGGCTCTAGAGCCCAGGACATTTGTCTCTGTGTGGCTTCCAGAGCCGCCTGCATGGCTCTGACCATGGAGCTCATCAAGTACTTCTCCAATGACACTGTCCTCTTCTTGGGCCTGGGAGGAGTTGTCATTACTATCTTCCCTCAGTACCTACTAAAAGTTCTGGGTACAGAGGAAAGGAAGGAAAACAAGGGAAGGGAAGGGGGGACAGAAGCAAAATGATGGGGTTTGGAGAGAGGTCGGCCTGGCTCAGGTTCTGGTTCTGCCAGTCAGTAGGTGGAGCCTTAGGCAAGACACTCACTGCTCTCGAGTCTTGGCTTCCCAACACTTAATGGATGCAGCAGGATGGTTATTTCACATCACTACTGTCAGGATTAAGCACAGCATTTCTTCATTCACCAAAAAGCCACTTTGGTCCTCTCTTAGGCTATTTTTCTCATCAGAGGCTTGGAATAATGTGAATAAGAAACAAGCCCATGTATGGGTGGGTCTTACGGTTGGTCAGGAGAAGGACTTTTCTTTTTTAAAGATTTGTTTATTCATACAGAACTGCGGTACAGACCAGAGGTGCAGGGGTGGTGAGAGGCTTCACCGGAGACAGAATGGAGAGTAGAACAGGCAGATCAGATCAACGAAGTGCACTGCTGAGGGAAACAGTGGGAGGGTCAGGAGAGGTCTGCCGTGCCATGGGGGTCACCTCCAGGGCTGGGGATTGAACTCGCACTGAAGCGGCTGCAACTAGCTTGCAGTGCCATATCCTAACCTGCTGTGCCATAAGGGAGGGCCCAGGCGAGGGACATTTTTGACGAATCAGGGTAAGGCTTTCACGGACACACAATCGGCTTTAGAAAATAGTTGTTAAAGAAATGATTGCTGCCATGAAGAAATTCAGTAGAGAAAATGGTTCACCTTGCAAAATAAGTAAGTTCTCACTATGCAGCGGGATCCCTAGGTAAATATAATGTGAAGTGAAGTGGCTATGGAAACTGTTAAAAGAAAATCAGGATGAGAAAAAAAGCAAGGACTGAATGGAGGGGGGCGGGGCGGCTTCAGCAGGGGTAAGGGCGTGAGGACCCACCTGGCCCAGCGTGCACTCCATGCTGCCCAGGAAGTCAGCCTCCTTCAGCCCGTTGTGGTTGCTGCTAATGTCGTGCACCTCAAAGCGCAGACGCTGTACCTCCTCAAAGTAGAAGTCCACCGTAAACAGTTTTGAGTACACCGGGTTTATGCAGGTGCGGATCACTTCTGTTCGGTCGACCTGCAGGGACAGAGAAAGCCCCGTGGGGGTCAGTGCGTGCTGGCGTTAGCTTCAGGCGGGTTCCTTTCACAAGCTTCTCTTTTTTCCAGCTGTGAATACCCTCTGTGGAGTCACCAGGGCGAGAAAGTCTTCAAGGAAGCACTGTCAGAGAGTGAGGCGTGTTTTAAGGAGGAAAGTCTTCTGAGACACAATAATCTGAAGCTTTAATACTGGGATGAGGTGGATGACTCGGAGTGGCGGGGGGCCTGGGGCTGGGAGAGCCCGATGGCACATTTGGGCTTTCCCTTAATTTGTCAGCATAAGAGGGGCTGTTTCTGTCAGTGCCCCTTCAGAAAAAATCAGAATAAAACATGGGCCACGATGGGGCATTGTGACAAGTAGGCACTGCCCGTCCATGCCCTCCCCTTCCTGTTTCCAAGCTCTTGTCCCTCAGTCAATTTCCCTCCCTGGTCCAGAGGCATTTCTACAACGTCTGTTTTAAAATCAACAGAACAAGGAGCCACACGATCAGGGCTCTATGTTCACGTGGTGCCTTTCACCAGAGGACTTCTAGATAACCCCCAGGAAGTAATTTATAGGTGGACTTCACATAAGACACAGGAAAGGACAGAGGGAGAGACTTCTAGGCAGGTTCAAATGCTAACAGAGAGCAGATGAAAACGCTGGTCTGTTTGTGTGAATCACCCCCAAGGGCACAGGGCTGACGCACACCTACCCCAATGCACTTCTCGCTTCTTGATTTTCAAGGATGACCCCACAGAGCTGGAAGGCTCAAGTTCATACCAAGTCACACACCTGAGGCAGGCTGTCCAAGGTAAGCCACCAGTGGGCCATGGTGAATGACTTGGTGTTTTGAGGGAATGAAGTTAAGTAATAAGCAGCTGTGTTATAAGGACAGGTAAATTTGGGTGCTAATCTAAGGGCCAGTAAGAACCCTAAGAGCACAGAGATGCTCAGCAGAAGGAGAATGAAGACGGGAGCCTGTTCACAGCACTGAGTACCTATTTGAAAGTTCTAGCAAATTTGCATTCCTGGTCATTGTGGCAGATGCCTTATCTTTTCTGGGCACTGAATCAGGGTTTCATCTGAGCAACAGGCCGTAGGAGAACACGATTTCTCATGGAGAAATACAGGTCAGGTGGTTATTTCTAAAAGACCAGACCATCACTGACCGAGCTACCCTGTAACAGGGCAACTTTCTTTTCAGATTCCTGTCCTCTCCCTGGGGCAATCTGGCTCAGTAAGTGCTGGTGGGACCCAGAAGTCTGTATCTTTCACAGCTGCCCAGGCAATTCTAATGGGGGGCTATCAGAGTCAGGGAATAAGGCAGTGTGGGGTCCACCCCTGACTCTTAGGTGAGGGCTTTTTGTCAAGGTTTATTTTAATCTTGTTGCTCCTCTCTGACTCAGTCTGAAAAACAGTCTGCCAATCTCCACTTGCCCTGGGTCATCATGACTGATATACTCATGTTGCTTTAGAGTTTGCAGAATATGCTCACTTGCATTTTTGTTCATTTGATTCTTACAGCAGTCCTGTGTCGTAACTGTATACTACTGAGAATAGCCAAAGTCAAACATCAGCACAAGGCCCTGGATGATGAGAGTGGCCTTGGAACTCCAGCGTGCAGATCTTAAAACTGAACTGTTCTCCGTAACTCATGTTTATTCATGAGCATTCCTTGAAAGAACGGAAAATGTAAGTGGGCTATGGTCTGCTGGTGATAGGCCCATCACAGGATGTTGTTTTTGATGAGATGCCCTTTTGAAAAACTTATATAAAATATCTTTCAATATAATACTAATGTTTCTAAGCATTAATGTTTATCGAAGCCCTGATAGGTCACAGACACTCAGGAAAATGCACTACTGAGGTGTAACTGACATATAATAAACCACACTTAACTACTGCCTGCAATTCGGTAAGATTTTTTTCTCTTTTTTTGTATGCAGAAGAACTGAGGTACAGGCCAGAGGTACGGGGGGGGTGTGTGTGAGGGAATTCCCCAGAGACAGAGTGGGGAGCAGAATAGATGCATTTACTGAAATACACCACTGAGAGGACAGGCAAGATCTTCTGCACCACGTGGGTCGGCTCCCTGGCTGGGGATGGAACTGAGGCCATAGCAGTGAAGCTCTGAGACCACCAGGAGGCCCCCAATTCAGTAAGTTTTAACCTCTGAGTGAAACCATTGCCACAATCACTATGGTGCCATATCCATAGCCCCTTTTATGTCCAAGCAGCTGCTGACACCTCTCTGTCACCACAGAGGACTTTGCATCCTCTATAACTTAGATTATATCTAGTACGCAGTCTATTTTGTCTCTAGTCTGTCATTCAGCATCATTATTTAGAGATTTATTCACCACTGTGATATGCACCAATGATTTTTTTGTTTGTTAACAGGTGTTACTTCAATGCTACTACTGCATAGTATTCTATGTGGATGTTTGGATTGGTAGCAGTTTGACTGTTACACACGAAAATCCCATAAATATTTATGTACAAGCATTTGTATGGACCTATGTTTCTCCTCTTGAGCAAATACCTTAGAGTTAAATAGGTATATTTAGCTTTTTAACGTTTAATAGGTATGTAGTGGCACCTCGTTATGGTTTTAATTTGTATTTTCCCAGTAACTACGATAGATAGCATCTTTTGTATGCTTAATTGCTATCTATGTGTCTTCTTTGAAGAAGGATAGGTTCAAGTTTCTTGGCAGGCTCTGTCTTTTCATCCTTATGACCACATGATGAGGGAGGGACCATTATCCCCTCTTACTGGAGACTGGTCCCGGGTTTACACAGCTTGCAGGGGGTTGGACTTGATCCCAGGTAGTCAAGTTCCCAGTCTCTGCGTTTCTCCATTAGGCTATCTTACTGTCACACAACTCTTCCACTCAACTCTGTTACTCAGAGGAGTGTACCACTAACTGATAAAGGTAAACTATGGACTAAATGGGGAAAGTGATGACTGAGGCTGAGTTTTTGTCTAGAGACTTGGTTTGTCCATGGGGCACAGTGGAGATACAGTGGGGGCCTTGGGCACGGCCCCGAAGGTCAGTGTGTGTGCCACAGTTTTAGAATAGGCACGGCAGTGTCATCTGCTCCATCAGGGGTCCGAGAGCCAGAACTGGCACAGGAAAAGGAGATGAGTTGAGAGAGGAGCAGGAGCCAGAGCTGGCCACTGACAGGTCTGAGGCCTGGGGAAAGTGAGGTCTTTATACCCAGGGTAACAGGTGCTGCTGAGAAGGGCATGTAGGCCAGAGAGACACAAGAGGGCCCTCAGGGCAGTCTTGTGATTAGGTGTTCCTTCAAACTGAAAGCCTTTAAATATTTCCCCAATATTTACTTAGTGAGGGTGGGGAGAAACTAATTTGCTGTGAATAAAAATGGCTAACTTGATGCTCAAAAATAAAAAATTTATTACAGACAATTTTTCAAGCCGTATCACTTCCAAGGGGGCATATTAAATCACATAAAATTTAGATAATGAGATAAATCACTGTGCCACCAGAAATAGTATTATTCAGTTTCAGGATTTCAGCTACTGGTGACTGCTGATTTCAAGAGATTGGCCTTGGGGTTGGTGGCTTGACTTATGGCCGCAACAAACATGTTGCAGGCCTCAAGATCACTCAACAATGGGCAGGTGTTGGGCTGGTGAGAGATGACTTTTATTTTCAACTTGAGTGGATTCTCTTCTTTGATGGGACTATAGCTCCAACATGTGACTGGCTATCTAAAGAGTCACCTGGGGAAAACTGAGCTTCCTGGCATCATTTTTGTGCCCTCTATCTGCCGAGGGCACATCATTTCTGGCTGCCTCGCTGACCTGCACATGTCTGGGGGCTCCTGCTCCCCAGTGCCTAAGACTGACAATATGGCTGAGTATTTGATGGCCTTTGCTTCTCTTGAACGTCTTATAAACGCCGCAGGCAGAAGCTGACCTTGTACCCATTCATCACTGAATTGTTCTCAGTGGGGGTAAAATTCATTTTTGTGGGTTACATTTGGATGTACAGGGCTGGGGTGACATTGTGGAGGTTGGTCCCTTCGACGCAGACTAGCAGACTGCACAGCCCCTCCCCACGCCCCCAGCCAGTAGCGACCCACCTTTCACTCAGCAGAGATATTTCTCCAAGTGCTAATCTGGTTCTCAGAATCACCCACAGCAGCAATGGGCTCTTAGCCGAGCTGGGAACAAAGAGTGGGATCCTCCAGAGAGAAACTTGAAGACACCCCCATTTGAAATAATCAGACAAGTTTTGCATTGTAACACACCCTGAAGAGTCTGAGGAAACCATTTTGCCGCCTGCCTCATAAATTATTTAATTCCTATTTGAATTGGATGAAAAGCTGAGCGGTGATGGAGGTGACGGTAAGCTTTCTGTTCAGGTAAAGGAGGGGGGTGGGAGCAAGCCAGGCCACCTGCTTCCCGCAGAGGTGCTTTGCCAGTTCTCGTCAAAAGCGGAAGACCTAACAACACACTTCACTTCACAACTTAACATATTTAAAACTGGGGTGGAGGGTACAGTTGAGGGTAGGCTGTTGTTTGATCGGAAGCATTTTCTTCCCGGTGATACACATAATAGTGCTGGTTTATTAAGATTCTATTAAGTGGAGCATCCTCGTTCTGCAATGATGAAATAAAATGGCAGTGGGACAAGCAAGGCTCGTATCCAGTGTGTCTGACTCAAACGTATGTCCTCCTTCTACTGCCCCATGGGCTGAGAGATGTCCCCAAACTCCTATGTTGAGGTCCTCATCATCAGCACCTCAGCCTGTGACCTCACTGGAAATAGGGTCGGTGCAGGAGCAGCTTGTTGAGTTAGCATGAGCTCATTCTAGAGCAGGGGAGCCCCGACCACACAGGACGGACATTTCATAAAACGAGCCCATCTGAAAACAGACACAGATGGAGAGGCCACGTGAGCTAGCTTCTCCCTGGTGCCCATAGGGAGCACACGGCCTGACAGCACCGAGACCCTGCACTCCGAGCCT